GTGAAAGTCTGACATGTGTAGTGTTTACTCATCAGGGGATAAGAACATACCTATGCGATGCGGATTCTTATGATGATGTTGGGCATCTGCTGCAACATCCTCTCCAGCACAAGCCGCCTGATATAGGCCAGCCATCAGCCCGCTGTTTGCATAAGAGCCGGCGATGTCAACTCCATCTCCCAGCACCTAGCAAGCCGTTAAACGGCAATGGTCAACATCACAAGCGGCTTCAGGGTGGGACATTCTCCACACAATCCAAACCAGCCAATGGTTGGAATGCTTGAAGGTCGGGACATGTCGGGACACAAACGTGGGGCGAGAAACATGGTGTGGGGATGTGTGGGGACACAATATGAGTCGCAAACATGTATTGACAGGAAGGGGCACAGCGAGAAGCACTCTGGAGGCATGGCCGCATAAGGTTGTGCTGAAATCAATCATGTAGGCTGTGAGGCGGCTTGTGTATTGATGTTTCTGACCACCTTAAGTTAGCATACCTCCTGCAAAACTCTAGTAGCAATTTGTGCAACACTTGCACAGCCCAAGGCTGCCCGTGCAAGTTTGGACGGGATCCAGCTTGGGCGGTACTGCTCCAGCTCCCGCTGGAACATGTCATTCTGTGAAACCATTCTAGCCTTCCCTTCCTTCGAGATAAACGCACTTCACGCCTAATACATTCCAAAGCACCCCTGGAAGCTGGAGCTTGTCTGTTGTACTCATCACATGTGGCCGCCAGGAAGATGGAAGGTGCGATGACCTCAAGCTTGATCGCACCACATGAACCACATTGGCCAAAGCTGTGATTTGTGGCAGTCAGCAAATGACTCCGCCCCTCTCTCCTTGGCATTTACTACACAACAAACCACATGTCACATGTCCAGCAAGCTCTGCCGCACAATCGTCCGTTTCCAATCTTGGAAGATCTTTCAAATAGAGGGTTGGCATCTGGCTGCCCAACAGTCAAGTCCAGCCCTGATGCTCGCCTTGATCTTAGAGCGCCGATGCCAAGATGAACACGGCACAGCTCCTGAAATGGCTTGAGCAGCTTGCGATAGCTTGTGCATTGCTCCCACCCTGAACAGCATCGTACACTGCCTGACTCATGAACTCCAGCACCCGCAAAGGCCGCAAACGCTAAATGCCAAAGCGTTCGGATCCTGAATGAAGTTCACCAGGTGCCGAGCCGTTGCTGTCCCCTTGGTCTTGGTGATCTTGGTCTTTGTCTTTGAATGTGCTTTCCTTGCTTGTCTGGAGTAGGCCATGCATGGAAGAGATTGCACCCAACTCTTTGGAATAACGATTCTAGAAAATGACTGCCCCAGCAAGCTCATGTGGCAACATGTGGTGCTGTTATCTTCAAACTCATCCTGGCAATTCTGATTCCAAAGAAGCATCTGATTCATCTGCACAGCACTTCTAAGCCTCTAAGTCTAAGCAGCCTCCAAACACTTCGGTACAAACGTTTCCAGTGCCGCACATCTAGACGCCTTGGCTCCAACGGCTCAAATATGCCAACGCTCACGTCAGGCCAGTCCTGAGTCCTCTGGGCGCTGCGGCCAACACGGCCCACAGCTGCGGCAATGGTGGCACGCGCATCTGAAGCAAAGCAACCTGGCGAAGCAGAAAGTGTACGACTGTGATTTCAGCTTTTTTTGATCTTTTTTGTATCGTTTTGTAGTTCGTTTTGTCACATATGCTCGGGGGGTTAGGTGGGTAAGAGTAGGTGATACTAGCTTCAGTATATAATTATCGGCAAGAAGCTGAAGGGTTCATGCATCTTCAAGGAAGCCTGAGCCTTCATGATTTGGTTCAACCTACTAGCAGTGGCCTCCAACTTGCTAGGGATGGCCTCCCTAGTTTTTGTGATAAACTTAACTTGGTTTGGTTTGCAAGTTATATATCTCCCGCGGGTTTTCCAGCTCTCGGGTGGCTTGGATGGCAATCCTGCAATAAGAAAGGGCTGATCACATCAAACAAATGCAAACGCCCAAGCACATCGACCCAAACAGGGGCTGTGCTGTGCATCGGGGCTATGGATCAAAAGCGTTCCAAAGCATTGTATGAAACCTCAGCTGAAATGCCATGAACTCTGGCAACTCTAGCCATTCCAACACCATGGCCTAGCCATTCCAATTAAGCTGAATATGATCAGCTCGTCCACCAGTTGTAAGCATATTGTGTTTGGTTATTTCCTCATCTTGTGTACACCCGGTTTTGATCCACAACCTGGCAACTCTGCACCATGTGTTCGACAGACTGCTTGGCAGATCTGACTTCTGGGGCGAATGTCTGCAAGATTCTTTGCCTCGCTTCACACATTTCACGTTAGCCTCGGAGATCTCCTCTCCTAGTCGTCCTGCACGGGCGATGATTTCGAGCGCCCAAGTCTACTGCCAAGAAAAATGCCTCAAAGAAAGAACAGTCACATCATGTCACATAGAACATTTTTGTTGAACTGGAGACTCAACACAAAAAATCACAAAAGCGTCGTCCACGCGCCTCTTCATCATCATCCTCGGGTTCGTCATCGTCCTCCTCGGGTTCGTCGTCATCTTCCCCTTCTGATTCTGGTTCGTCGGCATCCTCACCTTGTTCCTCCTGATCCTTCGGCTCCTCTTCATCCTCTTGTTCCTCCTCACTCTGGTTCGCTTGCTCTGATTCCTCTTGTTCCTCCTCACTCTCGTGCTCTTGCTGCGCCTCGTCTTCCTCTTGTTCCTCACTCTCGTGCTCTTGCACTGCCTCGTCTTCTTTCTCCTCATCTTCTTTTAGCTCCTCCCCCTCCTTCTCCTCCTCCTCACTCCTGGTGTCTTGCTTTTCCTCCTTCTGCTCCGACTCCTCAGGCGCAGCCTGTTGCTCCTTGCCTTCTTCCTTGCCCTCTGTCTCGTCATTCTCTTCCTCCTCCTCCTCATCGCCTGTGCTAGGTCCTTTTGCATTTTGCAAATCCTTTGGCTGGATACTATCCACTTTGGTGTTGTCAAGCTCGCTGCCTGCAAGTATAATGTTTTGCTCTATGAAAGTTTGTTGGACCAGATTCTGCTCCTGTTCAATCTCCACGTTCGTCTCATTTTTGATTTCCAGGTGCTGCTCATTGATTGTGCTTGAGCTCATTCGTTTCACATGGCTTGTGGCCTCAAAAAAACAACTGACTGTGTGAAGAAGCTGCGCCCCTTCAAAGTCATCCAACCAATTCCCACCATCCAGCACCATCTCAACCCAGAAACATGTGTCAACAAAACAGTCAGCTGGTCCTTGCAGCCTGGGAGCTGCATCCCACCAGTGCCCGGAGTCCTGCGAACCTCCGCCCGCCTCAGCATGGGTTACACAATTGCTTTGTGAGGTTTTCTAGCAATAGATTTTTGTTCCCCCAAATGATGAGATGGATGTAGATCAAAATGTCTCAACCGAATCCCGTTGAAGCCTGCAAACATTCCATAAACTCTCCGTTTGCCCCCGCACAACCAGCAACAACTTTGTGGAACTCCCAGCCTGCAAGGCATTAAAAATTTGATCAGCTCCAAAACCACCGCCGCCCATGATGTTTGCGTAGGGTGTGCATCCATCACTGCCTCACTGCAAGATGGATCAAAGCGGAACACGTGCCCAACCCACTACCAACGGTCTGAAAATTGCAAACAAAGCGCTTGCGAGCCAATAATGGCGGTAGCTAAACGACATTCCTTCAAAATACTGTAACAAAGCTATACTTATAGTGTTCATCTCTTTAGTGTTTGCCTACTGCGCGCAGCCGCCACGGAGGCCCCCAGTCTTACTGGTCACCAGCCAGGTTGCTTCGTGCGTTGGCCAGCATCTGTTGACCAGAGGGCGCTGTGGCCATGGAGGCCATGAAGCCAGCCAACAAGGCACTGCTGCCCACAAGCATGGCTGCATTGCCTCCAACGTTGGCGCCTTGGGAGTGTTTGGTGCCAAAGGATGGGCTGCCGTAGGATTCCAGTAAATGTATACAATGGACATTGCAAAATGACAAACCCATAAAATACAAAACCCATAGAGCCGGGGTCACCGGGTCACCCAGACTTCTTGGCATATCTTCTGACTATTTGATATTAATTGATATTACTATTATATACAAGATTATACAAGTAACGGCGATACTCACTCACGCTTTGGTCTCAAACATCACTTACCCCTTGACCCTTGGAATTTAAGGCAAAAGCGCCGGCGCGGCGTGCCCCTTGGCGTCTCCTCAAATAGATGTTTTTCGCCTGGTGTTGTCTGTGCCCTGAATGCTTTGAGTCCGGCCGTTCTCGCCTCCAGTGCCCGGACCGCTGGCGCCACCAGAGTCAAAGCCGCGGGCTGCTTGGGTGCCCGGTTTGGCCGGCAAGGAGATGGTGGTCAAGGAGAAGGGCTGACTCAGTGCAACGTGGCGTGATGCGCTTCAATCATAGCATGCTTCATTGCGGCAAGTATAGGTCCAGCTTGTTAGTTTTCACCGTGGCATAACCCAAATACGGGAGCGCGACCGACACACACACACACACTTATAGAAATGCGCACTGATGTGAATGCCGCTCGCCACACGGCAGCCTAAGAAGCCAAATTCCTGAAAAGTAAGGTATGAGGAGGCCTGAGCATCTGTAGTGGTTAGGAGGCCAGAGGTCCAAAGTGCAACTCCAAAGCTCAAGTCGCGAAAGTTGCAGCAAGGTTCAAAAACGACGGTCGCGAGCCGACAGGGACGACGAACCCGTGCAGAGTCCAAAGAAAAGCCCTATGCATGACTGCCAAGAAGATGAGGGTAACAGCTTGTGAACATCACAACTAAGCAGGCACACGGAGGTGATCAATCTCCGCTTCCCCCATCGCGGAACAGCTTCGTTGGCACAGGGGTATCCACGATGGGCCTGTGCCCCCTGCTGAAAAAGGAAACAATCCAAAAGGAACCTTGTGACTCCAAAGGTTACACTCTGACATTGGTTTGCTGTTAACTCAATTCCCGCGTTGAGAAGGAAAGTGAGGGAAACGAGGTGAAAAGGTCAGCGCAACTGAAATGTTTAACAAATTGTTCGCTTGTCTGCAGTTCACGAAACGCGCAGCAGCTGAAAGTGGCGGAGGGAAAATGGTTTGTGGGAAGCATCATGAACCACCATGCAAACAAAAAAGAAAGATTGGACAGCGTGAGTCAACCGTTCCTTGGCAGGTACAAGAGCCGGCGTCCCAGCTCTCTTCCAACTGATTTCCGTAGCTTCGTTGGCACGGATGGGAAATCAGTCTCCGTGCCCCCTGCGTGATTAATGGAAGTTGTAAGGTGGAACCCTTGGAAACAGGGGTTGACGCACACACGGTGCCGCTTGGCGCTCGCGTGGAAGGCCTGAATAGATACCTAAAAAGCCTTAGAAACAAAAGAAAGAAACACAGAAAGAGCAGCGCTAAGAGGGCAAGAGAGAAAGATAGGAGTAGAGAAATGAAAAAATGAATACTTAGCCCTTGACTGGGGTAGGGAAACGCGCCTCAAGAACAACCTAAAAAGCCTGAGAGAAAGCCCAGGAAACAACAAAAAGCGTAAGAAAGAAATGGGGGGGCAGGGAGGGGATGTATGTGGCATGTGTGTGTCCGTGTGTGTGTGTGTGTGTATGACTACCTAGCACTCTAGGGTTACTGACTACTTAGCAGAAACGAATTACTGACTACTTACGGGACTTTAGTCTTAAACCGCCCGGGGAGAGTAGACTAGAAAAGGGACAACAGAGGGAAAGGCACCGACACACAAGTGTGTCGAGGACCATTTCCCTGCGTTACCCTAATTAGGTAGGGAGTAGAACTCGGTGGGGGGGGTTTGGGAGACCTGCCTCCAGTGGGTTGAATTCCGTTTTTTAGCCCGGCGGCTATGGTATCCGTGAGAGCCCGGCGGCTTTAGATTCCGACAATTCAGTAGTGAGACTAAGGCTGTTAAGGTGATTCACAAAGACGATGATTCAGTAACACAATTTCCGGCATGAAAACGGCACCTCCTTGCGGGGGATCACACCCAGCACCCAAATGGGACGGCTGAGCGGTTCACACTCTGACATTGGTTTGCTGTTAACTCAATTCCCACGTTGAGAAGGAAAGTGAGGGAAACGCAAGGTGAAAAGGTCAGCGCAACTGAAATGTTTAACAAATTGTTCGCTTGTCTGCAGTTCACGAAACGCGCAGCAGCTGAAAGTGGCGGAGGGAAAATGGTTTGTGGGAAGAAGTATCACGTCCCAGCTCTCTTCCAACTGATTTCCGTAGCTTCGTTGGCACGGATGGGAAATCAGTCTCCGTGCCCCCTGCGTGAACAATGGAAATTGTAAGGTGGAACCCTTAGAAACAGGGGTCGAGGGGAGGTGTTCCTTTTCAATCAAGCTCCGGGCGAGGGTGAGGTTGGGTGAAAATTGAACCTACGAGAAGCGGTGAATCTCACGAAAGGTCTGGTAGGCGGTCAAGGGTAGACGGAGTTGTCCAACAATCCATGTACATGAAGGATTTCCCGATGAAGGACCGCTTGAGCAACCAAGGAGATGCCCTCCGTCTGCGCCAGTCCAGCAGGAGATGGTGGTATGGCGGGAGCGGGGATAGGTGGGGGAGGAATCATCACTCTAAGGATCTCTAAGGGGACCCGTCGAACGGGGGTTAGTCGAACGTAACTCCCTGTCCGGATACAAAGCAGCTCGCAGCGAGCGTAGGTGGCCTAGGCCAAAGTCATTTGCCAAGACTTGACGAAGTACTGAATTCTAAGCCTAAGCTGGCTTATGCCTTTACGTGACCACAGCGGTCAAAAGCCGTTAGGAGGCCAAAGGTCCAAAGTGCAACCCCAAAGCTCAAGTCACGAAAGTTGCAGCAAGGTTCAAAAACGACGGTCGCGAACCGACAGGGACGACGAATCCGCGCAGAGTCCAAAGAAAAGCCCTATGCATGACTGCCAAGAAGATGAGGGTAACAGCTTGTGAACATCACAACTAAGCAGGTACACGGAGGTGATCAATCTCCGCTTCCCCCATCGCGGAACAGCTTCGTTGGCACAGGTATCCACGATGGGCCTGTGCCCCCTGCTGAAAAAGGAAACAATCCAAAAGGAACCTTGTGACTCCACAGGTTACACACACGCTCTCACATGCCCGCAAAAGGACAACAAGGGCACGCGCAACAAAAACACACGAAACAACTGCATGAAGGACACACACACACACGTGAACGGAAGAGTTCAGATAAACAAGTCTGGGTCAGGGGTTTCGGTTGGCCAATGGTGGTCAATTCAATGGCCAAGCTCGAAGGGGATCGATGATGTTGGGGCGCTTGAGCTCAATCAGCAAGGAGGTGGCCAACTGAGGGACTTGATCGAAATCCTCCTCTTCCAGCCGCTCCCTGATCCTGGCGAGTTGACATGCCTTCAAACAAATAACTGGATGCGTTGGAGCTCAAGGTCCTTGCATTACAAAGGAGCCCATCTGAACCCATCCACACCTCCCACAAAAGACAGGCCCGCTTCTGTTTGATAAATGCGTACAACTATTCTCTTTTGACCCTTGATCTAGATCTGCTATTGGCGGAGCATTGACTATATGGCTTGACTTTTGCTTGTGTCTCGCTGATTCCGGCTCTTGCTTAGCGTGGTTCTATGGATCTTGAATCGAGACTTGACTTGCATCCTTTGATATGTGTCACATAAACATCTGATTTACGCTGGCTCAAAAAATCGTAATTGGACCACGACCTTTAGCGCGCTGTGTTGCTTTCTTATACGTTTTTGTGCCTTTTGGTGACACAATGCCCGTCTTTCGGGACACGCGCGCTCATCGCTCCTCGCTTCTCTTACCTGAGGGTGGGTGCGGGGTGGGATGTTTACGTTCGCCTCTAAGTGCACACCTATTGCGCAATACACTTCATACTCTATGCACTACGCTTCGGGTGGGATTGGGTGGGGTGGGAAAACTTTCAAACCACAGGTTTCCTAGAAGAATTGGCCACAAGTAACATCCAGAAATCCGTATGTTGGTGATGCAGTACAACCTGTACATGTGGCGCAGATTCCTTGGACCGTGCATGCCAAACAAACTGCTGACCGAGCTTTGCAAGGTGGCAATGAAGAAGCGCTGAAAGAGTAGAGAAAAAATGAACACTAGCGATCCCAAAACGAGTAAATAGTTTTCAGAATTTTACGCAGAGACATCAATGCTTGCATGTAGGAATACGCACTGCGCAGCAGTGCCATTGACATTTTCATTTCTGTCCAAGGTTGACTCTCGTAGCTACGGTAGTCTGCACACACCTCCTTTTTCTCAGTCGTCTTGCCAGTATGGTCTTCAACCTGCCATGTCCAGCAGGATAATTGCGTTGGGTTACCTGCATCAGCAGGCCTGACACAATCAGACCCTTGTGGTATCCTTCCGGTCACTCCGGAAACCACTCCCCCCCCCTGGGGTACTTAAAAAGTGGTCTGAAAGCGGTCACTCCGCTAGATTGTGCCAGATCGCAGATCCCTGCGCAAGCCCCAGGCTAGCCGGCTAGCCCTTCAAGGGTAAAGGTGACCCCACCGGGGGCCCTTACACCAGGGTGGGCTGGGTGGGAAAAAGAGAGAACAAACGCTATTTTGGCCAAGTCACTTGAGCCAAAACATTCGTTGGTTCAAACCTATGGCAGTAATGAATACATGTTCACCCAAGCCTGCCAGACCTGAAACATGCTTACATTTCTGTCCAAGGTTGACTCTCGTAGCTACGGTAGTCTGCACACACCTCCTTTTTCTCAGTCGTCTTGCCAGTATGGTCTTCAACCTGCCATGTCCAGCAGGATAATTGCGTTGGGTTACCTGCATCAGCAGGCCTGACACAATCAGACCCTTGTGGTATCCTTCCGGTCACTCCGGAAACCACTCCCAATGCACTTCAAATTCTCCCAACGCACTTAGAGAAATTCCATAACTCGGATCACTGCTGGCAGTGGAAGGTGCCAGAGGCAGAATGGGCAAGAGACGGAAAAAGGGGTGAATCCGTTAGTTCGCCACCACGGATCGGACCAACCTAATCTTGAAATGGCGTCAGCCCAATTACTCTTAGAAGGAATGTATTCCCAATACATCCAGGTGCGCAAGGCGTACAACATCACGTGAATCAAACCGCACATGCGCTCAAGATCGGGTGACTGGGAACGACCCCGGATCAGACACATGAGGCTAGCGACGTTATCGATCAGCCAGATGCCTCGGCGACCCCGAAAGGCCTGTGCCCGGTACGTGAGGGCATAAATGATCATCACCATCTCCAACTGGGCAATCTGCCTATCGCCAGGCTCCCACAGCTGGTAAACTTCCCGAGGAATGTTGGCGATGAAGGCTTCCCGAACCGGTCCCACCGGGTCATGCCATACGATTAAAAAGCCTCCTGTGCCCTGCTTTGGCTCCTCCAAAGCCGCATCAGAAGCAACAACAAACCGCAGACACTCGGACGGCCTCACGGGGAGTTCGCGACAGGGTCGATGGTGAAGAATGGAGTGAATCACGTCAAAGTTGCGCTGAAGCTCTGGGGTGAGGTCACGGTTACGTTCCGTCTGACGTGCTTTGATGGCTGCCAAGCCTGCGCAACCCAACCTTCCGTACATGCCCTGCTCGAGAAAATTGAGCATGCCGTAGAGCTTGGACGCCTGGCCTGAGGACAGACTATTGTGTGCCTGAGCTTCGGTAAGCATCGCAGCTGTCTTCTGAATCAATCTATCTCGGGCCCAAAACGTTACGAAGCCGCTGCCCAGATTTGTGAAGTCGTGATCAAGGCCCAGAAAGGTTCCGGTCGGCTGCATCAACTGTTTCTTCTCCTCGGCGAACGGGGTGCCTAGGAGGGAGTTCAACTGGCAAAAAGCTTGTTGGCTGGAGCCGAATCCTGACTGAAGATCCGT